CAGATGTAGGAAAACATTTATAAGCTAAGCGGGCTCTAGCCCAGAATATTGCATTTCGAGGTTTGTTGGGTACATCGGATATTCATAGGTTCTGCTCGCGTTACAGTCCCACACCATCCTTTAATGAGCTCAGTGTTTATCTCACATACCCGTACATTAATGGTGGCATTACCATGACTAACATTAGTTGAGCGATTACTTCTTCATATAGCCAAAGTTTACATGTACTCTGTCATTTTTGCTGCAGTTTAGAGACATAAACGAAACATACCTGAGTCTTACCCTCTATGACGTAATATTTCCATTCACGATATGAAAGTATAAACTCTGATTTGAGGTTCTCAAAGCGGTGAGTAAAATGATGGCTGTCTTCTGGGTTCTAGACGTGTAGTATGGTAACAATTGATATGTGCAGCAATGATTTCTAAATAGTTAGTAAATTGCTACCATACTACACGATGTTTCTTGCAGTGATGTGTGAAAATATTTTCATTTTTGACGAGACGAAACCATAAAATGGCAGGTTGATTTTATAACATTTCGGAAGTAGATGTTTCGCCTTCGCAATGAAGCATGCAGTGTCTACTAAAGGTCAACAAAATATTCTACCACAAAACGGAGTCATCTGAATGTATACATAACTTTTGGCTCCTAGCAGCCAGTAACTACAAGCAACAAATGACTTTGGTGTTCTTACATGCACAGTGGACGTATTTACAAAGCATTAAGAAGAACGAGTACACTACGCAGACGATTGGCAGGATGAGGGGTCTGGAATTTGGAAATTTTTACGTAAATTCCATCAGTGAGTCTGAGCGAAGCCACTGTTATCAGATACAACAAACCGACATAAATTCTTGGGCAGGAACAAGCGACCCTCTCCTATTGAGTGGCAGTTTCATTCGACGTATTGTACTCGCTAGTGGCTAGGTGTACAAGAATAACTCCGTTAACATGAGTTGTTATATTTATATGCAGGTGCCCCGTAAGTCGGGGCCATAGGATAACTCAGTTATTTACTAAAATACCGAAAAAATGGAAAACGGGAACTAATCCTTTCTTGCATTATACCGCTTATATTCTAGGAGGCTAACTACCGAGAACGCAAGAAGGCAGAACGAAAGGACATCTAGGAGCAAAAAGGTTTTATATTATGGATGTATGGATGAATTAAATGAATTTAATACGCTCTTAATTAAATTTCACATTTTAAGCGCGACGAAGACAGAAAGAGAGTTAGGATAGAATAGAAAAAATATAAGAAAGTTGAAAATTATGAGGGAAAAGTAACATTCTACTGAATAGACCAATTTATAAGAATTCAGTCCGTACTTCAAAGAAAACTCAAAGCGTCTCCATTATAAAGTTCAGTTTCAGTTGAACCATGCTATGTAGAGAAATAATTGCTGTTTCTTCTAGTTATATGAAATCCACAAATAAAGAGTCTTTCATATAGCGGCCACTGTGCTTTAAATTAAGCTTCTGACCTCAGTTTATAAGTAGGAATGAATCCTTCACATTCAGTTAGAATTGCCTGAGTTGGTTACGTGGAAGCTTAAGAATTCTTTAATGTGGCTTAGCTGCAATGTCTGTTCCTTAAATCCTTTATACAGAACTTCTAGAACGAACCACTTGAAATCTGAATAGAATTATAATATTAAATTTAGTTTTCCTTGACAGCTACTAACTCATGATGATGAGTTACACAGATTCAATTCCGCCCTCCGTATCTGCTTTTGTGTTCCGACAAAATTTCGTGATGAACGTAATGAAACCTGCTTTCTTACTGTAAGTTTTTCGACTTTACAGGTCTTGTGTTGTTAATATTACAGTCGAAACAGGCTAAAGCTAAACTGTGGCTCCTTTTTAATCAGAGAAATCTATTCATAAATTGAGTATGATTAGTAAAAATATTCCTGTGGACATTCAATGAGTGACTGGGCAGTCACCAGCTTCAAAGAACGCGCCTTGCTTGAGTGTATCAAAGGAAACACAAAAGATTATGAGAGCAATAACACAATGATTTATAGCAAGATTCGTGTGTGTTCGTTACTAAACTTTGTTATAAAGCCACAACAAAAGAAGTGATTTCAGTCTGTTCCTGCTATGGTTTTTTAGCTAAGCATTTCAGCGCCTCATAATGCGTTCAGTTCACTTTGTACGAAGAACAAATAAAACGAAGTGACGACTGGAAGTGTCTGTCGATTCATACTGAGAGCAAGATTTGATGTCTTGCCCCTGTTTAGTGCCCTCATTTGGGTGTGGCGTTCATGCGTTAAATCCTAATAATCAATCCCTTCATATTTTTTGTAAAGAAAAACACTCTCCCGTGAAATTGATTGGAACGTTTAGTTTATGAATAAAATTATACGATAGATTACTTGTGACGTGTAGTGTATTTTGCATATTGAATATGTTTGAGGCAATTTTAAGGATTGTAAATCACATTCTCCTCCACCGAAACATCCAACCCATTCAAATATGAAATAGACCACGAGGAGATATGCTGTAGTAAACCGAAATTTATATTAATGTGTATCCTCCCATTTAGCAGTTCCTGAAGATCTATGTTAATTACATGCTGTTGATACCGTATCAGCTGTGGGAGAAGATGATGACGTGGCGCTGGGAACCGAGTTTCAGTAGCATCATGAATTAAAACATGTGAGGGGTTCTTGGATCACCTCCGTAAAAATCCATTGCTGATAGCCGACGTCAGTTCAGCTCGTTTCCGGATGTATGCCTCAAGGTAAAGTTATCTGAGCACCGCGCTCACAGGGGGCATGCAAATGAATCTCAGCGAGTTCTCGACGTCGTGGTTGGACTGTACCACACTCAGCCGATGGGTATGCGAGGTCTTTTGGGGGATTAAGCGACCGAAGCGCGAAGTCTCTCTCTCTCACAACTGGTGCAGAGACCTATAATGAGTGGAAGTTCACCGCCACGCCACCATACTCCTTCGTAACATGCTGATTACCTTGCAGGCACAGCTTTCTTAGTGTGAAATACACGCGAAGAAGACGTACAGAAATGAAGTGTTGATCGTGACGGTCCAGTGATTAACACTCCCACTTCGTATTCGGGAAATTCCCAAGTTCTATCTTCGGCTCTGAGGCCGCCGGTCATGGCTGAAGAATGAGTTATTTACGGCAGTTCCTGCCGTGGCTGTTTCAGTGGTGCCTTAGCATTGGCTACGACGTTCTTGTCCGTTCATCAGTCGCATTAATCCTGTTATTCCACGTTACGTAACTTATGTTTTTGTTTAGGCGTCTTGATTTCAGCCAAGAATGTGTCAGTCAGAATGCATGCCGTGGATCCTAGTACGTTTCAACAACAAAGACGTCGTAACCTTCGCAACGTAACACGATTTGTTGGGTGAATCAGACCAACTGTACCTTTGTCATTAATGGTACAACAATGACAACCATGAATCGGGTAGTGGGAGAAACAGATTGGCCAATTGTGGCGACACGGTACAGAGGCCGCTGCTGCAGTGCTGGTAGTGGTACTAGAGGGGAAGGCAAGTCAGCCTTCCCAAGGCAAGGCAGCACAAGGCAGACCAGGTATTAAGAACGGCTGGCTCCCTACTACCTGCTAGCCGGACAGGAAAATGTAGGTCTTTGGGTCTTGATTGGGTGGTGATGGTGGGTGGGTCAGCTGTTTCAAGATGATGGAGAAGGGGGAGGAAAAGAGATGAGAAGGGGTTATAGAGAAAAGACAAGAAATATAGTGCCTTGGGAGGATTGACTCTGTGAGTGGAACTGTTGTTGTGGAATATAGTTTTAGTAGTGCACTAGTACCTGTGTCGTAAGGGTTATTGGCATAGTCTACTGAACCAGTGTTTGTGGCGGTAGCAGCTGGCCTTCCTTGTTGCTTGCGCGGGTACTTCCAGGTGGTGGTGGCTCACTTTAGTCAAATTGTGTCTATAGGCGGATGGGCACGAGGTTCAGTTTTCAAAATGAAAATATTTAAGCTTTAAAATATCAACACATTTGAGTACTGAATTTGTGGGACCGTGAAATAAGTTTTTGTGTTTTTGAGAAGTGCTGTTTTCTTAAACTGTGGATGGAAGTGATTGAATGAAAATTTTCTTTAATCCAGTAAGACATGAGTGTAAACAATTTATTAGTGAAATAGAACCAGATAAACTGCAACATTTGTTGTGAAATATTATAATACCTTCACAACAGTTCAAATAAATCCAAAGACTAATAAATGCTGGCTATTTATTTGTAAACATACAAGAACCGTTATAGGGATTTTCTAGTATAGAGAGGACTGCATTTTCGCGTGATAAAACACTTGTGAACACTTCGTGATTGTTGTGCTGAAATCTAATAATTTATGTATTTATTATCTGGCCTAGGAGTGTTGTGTTGTTGACTAGTTTGAGTGCGTCCTTTATTCCGCATAACAGTGATTATATGAAATATACCTTCGTACACGCAAATTAACTTTCAAAAAAGTCAGAACGGATTGATATGTTTCAGAAACGAAACAAGCGCTGGAGGTGTTGACTGTCTGAGGTAAGTTCACATGTGTTATGAGACTTAAGGTGTTTGCATTGATGTCACTAATAATTAATTAAGTCAATAACAAGAGGACCAGAGTCACGTGTTTACGGGAAGTATTTATTCTCGTCACACTACTAATGGACTAGTTCTAAGATTTGGCCATGACAAGCGTCCTTAAAGGCCCATGCATCAGTCTGACCTTCAACAATTCCGTCAAATTTATTCCAAGAGAATTCCTGAAACGCCTACGAATTTATAAATATCTTTAACATATTTTTACCGTTGTAAATAGACAACTTGGCTACAGCTTAAACGTCGAAATGTCTGAGAATTATTTTAGTAGACTTTATTAATCTTTTCTTCATTATAGTTATTTCACGCCATAGTCCGCAAGGTAATTCGAACATACAAATAATAAATGAACAAAGAAGGAATAAATTAAAGGAAGTTAGATAAATCACTGGCGAAAACCCACAACAGGGTTGTAGAGCCGAGATACAACAACTTACCCCATGAATTTAATTTTTTGTAACTTATCAGCTCGCCTATTCAAACTTTTACGCATACTCTTCGGATTTATTAGGATTTCAAGATTATTTCGATCCCATTTTGGTAGGTGACATGTCGCTAAATGTGGGGCAAACAAAACGAAATGTATTACAAATCTCCCTGAACAAGGTTGTGCTGTTCATATCTTTCTCACTGGCTGCAGAGATAGAACATTGATTAACAGAAAGATTCTTAAGTCGAACGTACGTGAATACTGTGGCCTTAGACGTGCTAATTTGTAGAAATATGTACAAGGAAACGAATACGAAAATACTGGATCTGAAGGTATTTTAGAACAAACCACGTCCCTTGCTATATTTATTTAAAAAAAAGCTAGGCCCATTATATTCTCAGGTTAAGGTGTCCTTTTTTTGCTATATTTATTTAAAAAAAATACTCCCGCTACTTCCATGCCACATAGAACACAATATTAGTTTTAACATATGTTGAAGTTGTTGTAAGTAAATAAGCGCACAATACTTAATCCTTTGAATCCGTCACAGGTACTAATTACGTTGAAGTTTTTACAACATATCCTCGCATATGAGGAGGGATGTGTTTAAACTTGAGGGGGAGGAAGTAATTCAAAGCTGGAGGGAGAATGATGAATAATGAAGTTGCCTCAAAATGTGTAAGCCTTATACTTCGATCTATATTACACGTTAATGAAATCGAATAGGACGATGTGCACAAGCTTACATGGTCGAGGCGAGAAATTGGTTAATTTAATTGGAAAACCTCAGTAGAAGAAACCATTTAGAAAACCTAAGCTTTGATGGGATGATAATACTAAAGCTGATCGTAAAGACATAGGGTATGGACTGGATACATTTGGTGTAGGCTGTAGTTCAGTGATAGGTTTATATGAACAAGATACTGAATCTTAAGATTCCATAAAAGGTGTTTCTTTTGTTGACTGGCTGAGTGACTATTCGGTTCTCAAAATAGACTGAGCACAACGGAGTTATAAGCGGTCTAAGATCAGCATCCCGTTACATGCAACATACCTGTCTGATAATATGTTTCTTCATTAAATAAGAAATGAGTATAATTTAAATTTCAGTGCCAGATAATATTAGGTCTGTGTGTATCGCGAATAAAACCGCGTAATACGCACGTGGCCAAGTGCCGGTTACCTCCTGAGTAGCTCTGCTCTAATGAAAATTAAATTTCTTACAGATGTCAGTTGTAATTATACTCTTCCTGCCCCGAACACTCCGCGACTAATTCAGTAACCTTCTAATTAAATGTTACAGCTGGACATGGGATCAGAGTTCAATCTTAAACACTACCGCTGAGTAATTTAATAGTAATAACCGCTGTGAAGTGATGGTGTACATTACACGACCTCTCGAATTGAGAACCTATTTCAGACTCAGTTCGTGTACAGATGGTTGCATATCATTTGGGAAAACAGCTGATACCTTCAGCCCTGGGCTGTGCAAAAACGTTACATTTGTGTAAGAGACAAGTTCTGATGCTAAAAGAAACACAGTTTTCTTTAATTTAAGCTGTAATGCATTGTGGTATAATTGCTAGGATTTTTCAGTTTTATTTCGTATTGGGATATCCTAGGCCTAGGATGTATAGTTCTGACCCAAGTTTTCCGCTTTACATAACAGAATCATCGTCTTCCTAGTTGTGATAAAATAAAACAATAGGAACAAAACACGAACTAGAAAAAGCTGTTGAATGCCAAACAGCCTCTGCAATAACATCCCGTATTAATCACCCGCCAATCCTGTTTGTCAACTAACATAGAAGTAACGAAACTGTTATCTTTACATTAGCACACATTTCTTGGTAAATATTTATATCACGCGTAGAAATATCCACGGTCCTGTAACGACACAGTTTCTTAGACCAATTTATATTTCAATTAAAATATCTTTCTTCATTTGCCCTTGCTAATCAGTAAATAAGTGAAATGTGACCAGACTACAGGAACTATGCACAAATATAAAAATCTTAGTTAAAAATAAAATTGTCAAGGTATTTGGTAAACTAGGTGAAATGGGTGATTTACATGGTTTGTCGTTTAGTTAACTTGTCAGTTTTTAGTACCAAATCCTCATTATTGGACAGTATAGTCGGTGCAGTAGTGGAATTTTCAAGGGGAAGGCTAGGAGCGAGTCTCTTGTGCGATAGTATAATGCTGACTGCACCGAGGAGCTTATCGGACTGAACGCCCAAACAAAATAAATACACTGACCGTGTAACAAGTTGGGTTTACGACAGATGTACAGCTAATAAGTCATTTACACTTAAAACGTACAAATACATTCTTATTTTCATCATAATTTTGTTGCTGTATTTAACTTGTCTCGAGAAATATTCGCATTTTAAATTAGACTGGCAATCTTTTATGCAAGTCTGTGTGTGTGAAATTATTCGGCGTTATGTACATCTTACTAATTAGTTAATTACAGTCATTAAATTGTATGCTGTTGGATTATTGATAGCTATGTCAAATCGTGTAGTAAATGTTGAGGAATTTTAAATAATATGCTTAGAAAGTTTCTCTGGGATTTCTAATGCATCTTAAACACTTAATCACTTCTGCAGCAAGTATTTCATTACATTCCGGCAAGTTGTACTTCACAGAGCAACGTTGTATGTGCCTAGTTTGCATTTATTTCTGGTTCCGGTCAGGGAGAAGACTTGCACCCTGTTCACATCCATTTTGTTCCTTGTCTTTACGATCTCCAGACCGCGTAAATCGTCTTCCATATTTCCGTGTTTGCAGGTCACGACCCACATCTCCTCACACCGATCTCGCGTTGCATTATTATGGCATTAAGTTCAAATTTGTGTGAACACATTACTTCAGGACGAGTTTCATGCAGATGCGGTTTACTAACGGTTCTGCTGGTACGAGTAATACAGTTTGATTCGTTGAGCGGCTCTAAAGGTGAATGGCCAAATGTTTTTTGTTTTGCGAATTAGGTTATAGATTATCCTTTAATTCAAGAACAAAAACTTTCATCACTGAAACATGTAATTGCCATTTCTTTCAAGAATGTGTCGATGAGGCATGACACCGTGCATGAAATCTTCTTTTCAGCGGGTTCCAAGGTTTATGTTTTCCTGACTCGTGTAAAGTCGTC